AATGGTGTAACATATGGCAAAAATGTCTATTAGTGGAAATGGCGCTCATATTCGTAAGTGTTAAGTTTTTATGAGAATTTTAAATGTGTGTAATGTGTAGTTGTAAACAAATCTTCATAAAAATCCCCTAGGAAATACATTATCCAATGTAAAAAGAATTTTATAATGCTTCCAATACGTTTCCGTCGTCAAATATTTAATTTTACAGTCGTCACGTTTTATTAATTCCATTTTCTCAGATATAAGTTTTAACGAGAATACTGATCGATGAGAAATGCATTTATATGATTGATTAATTGATCTGGACCATGTCAGTTTTGAAGATCACTTAAACTCATCAATGATTCTTGACCTAAGATTAACATTTTGTTTGCTAAACTTAAAGACTTATTAGCATCTGTATTACTATTGAGAGTTAAAACGTGCATTGATCTGGAAAGCTGAAGAGAGAATTCTGATTGAGATAAAATACTATTTGTGTACTATCAGATAACAGCTCTATTTGATTATAACGCACTCTCATACTAATATGCATCAAAGTCGGAAATAATTCTGACAAAGTGGCTTTCGGAATCGAGAAAGACATGAATCAATAACAAACTATTTTCTAAAATATAGCTCTGCATATAAAATACCGAGACGGATTTTTATTTATTTTTCAATATTTTACCAATGAAAACCATAAATCTTGATAAAAATGCGGAGAAAATCAAATATTGGGAGAATTTTATAACGTCTGCTTGAATTCTGTTCTTAGATTATAACTCACTTCTGTTTCCCTTCGTTGCCCATTTAATTAAATAAAATCAATTGAATTGAATACTTTTGTTCCAGTGGAAAGATTCGTTTTATTTTATTGCTAGTAAAATGTTAATCGAAACTTTTCTTTTCTAATGTAGGAATCGACTAATAAAACGTCTTTCATACATTACAAGGATATAATCAATTACACGAAAGCAAAGTTTGCTTCATACTATCTGTTCCTCACAAACTACACCAGTGAAAAAACACTTTTTGTCTACCTATTACGTTGTACACTGTAAGGCTACAAAGACAATCTGAATTTGGCCGATAACAATTGTCTGAATTACTTGGACATTATTCTTTGCATACTTCCGCCTATAAGTTCACTTCCTTTGAGATTTCAAACAATATTTTATGTTAAAAAGAGAGTTTCATGAAAGAATGTCATTACATTGTAATTGCCTGACAACGCGAACAAATATTGCTTTTAGAGGTTTTATAACTGTAGAGACTAGCATTGTGATGAATCACAACTTACTGTCGTTATCAATGAACAAATTGTGAATCTGTAAATTACTTGTCTAAAAACAAACGGTATTTGGTTGCTAGTACAATTTAAAATTACATGTTTCCAATGACTTTTTACACAAGGTCAGTTCTGTTCAACAAAATCAACTTTCAAAATCATACCTACATCAATAACATAACCATTTGTTGGTCAGTTACAAATATTACAAAATGACAAATCATTTAGCAAACATTATCGAAGTCGTTCGGATGGTCAGCAGAATGTTAGTTGAACCAGTAATGCTTGATTGTATCTCTTATTTTGAAATAATCAAATGCGTATTTTTTCTGCCTCATAGAATGACCATGGTTTGTCAGATTTCGTATCCCCACAGGTTGCACATCGAAATTATTCCTGACTGAAAGGTGTCTGTTGAAAAAATAACTTTATTCTTTGGGAATATAGCCTTTACCCAGAAAAATGTTAAGTCAACAGTCAGAAGTATCGAATAAGAATGGTTCTACCACATCCTAAAGCATTTTAATGTTGGTTCCTATGGCCTCATCTACTGTAAGAATCATTTCTGAAATACTTTTAAAGGTTTTTTTTTATTGAGAAATATTTGAACGCTTCCTCTGTTAAACACGGCCATCTTTACAAAGCCTATGATAAACAGTCAACGGGATGTGACAAATTTTGAAACAATGACTTCAGTTTAAATACATGTCTGTCAAAATGCTCCTTTTATTTGTATTAAAGGTGAGACTTAAGTTGAGTGAGCTTTAATCAATTTTAAATGTTTTTATACCTTTTGAATGCTTGAAGTGAAGAATAGATATGAAGAGATATTTTGGTAGTTGAGAATCCTATGTTGGTGCAATGAGAAGGTTGTTTGCTTGTAAAACTAAATAAAATACAATACATATTTTTGGTTATATGACTTTTTTCTTGGATTTCTGTAGATTAAAAATTTGGTTTTAGCAGCAACATGATGTGTTTCCACGAACACGTGCAATATAAATACTGTTAGATTTTTTTTTTTGATTTTTAGATAGGTTTCATTCTTGGATGATTATACACAATCACACCAAGTTTCGTCAAAATTCATCAAGAATTGTCCCTTCTAGAGCGTTTACAAGCTAAAAATTGAACGCGTTTCCATGAAGGGCAATAACTCATGATAAATATTTTCCGATTCTTTTATATTTTCAATAGGGTTCATCCTTGGTGATTACAAACACTCACTACAAGTGACGGACGGCCACCCCCCCCCCCCCTCATGTGGGCGTATAAAAAGAGATATTTTACCGGTATTTCTACATGTGTATGTCCATCTCAAAGGTATTTTCACACTTAGTGAAACAAAGTTAATAAAACTATAGTTTTGTGTTCAGATTTGCTATGCCAGTCTTTAAAAGTGTTCAAAAGATCTTGTGACGCCTACAGCCATGTACAGAATTACCAACGTATAACTAGTCAGAAATCAAACTAATCATATCTTGATTCAACAAGAAGATTGTTGAAATTCACATCAAGTGATATTTTATGATTGTGTTGAAGTTTAATTTAGCACACAATATTGGAATCGTGATTTCCTTTAGTGATTACAACACTCGGACAATAAAAACAGATTTTCAATCAAACAGTATTCATATTGTGATGTAAAGAATAAAATCGCGTCCTGGAAGATTTTTGCTAATTCAAACAAATTTTTCACGCAAACTAAAGACTATTTTCTCTTTTCCAGATATTTTTTTTTACAAATATTATTGGAAGAAACCTGTTCAGGAACTTCTCAACAAATTTGATCAGTCATTTTCATGACTTGAGCGAGATTTCCAAGGAAACTCATTTGGTTGTATTTATAGAAGTCATACAAATTTGAAATATTTAAGATCTAATCTATTGTCTGTATGACAGAAAAAAAATAAAATGACAGATCAGTGTTGAGCAATACATGATTCTTCTAAGTCTCTTCTATATTTAAAATGTCATACTATTAGATTTATAACCTTATAGCTTTCAGACAGTTTTACCGCCATATTTAGAGTTAAAATATGAAATGAGGATTAAAATATAGAAATTTGTGATAATATCCCTAATCAGACGCAATCACCCTATAGTAATATTCTGGTTGGGTCCTCTTAAGTAGGACATTATTGCGATTAATATCCAAAAACTTCAATGAGAATAAAATTGTCCTAGAATTCTATGCATATCTCCCGAAAATTAAACATTTCATAAAAATTAATCATTACCTTTCCTAATTCAACAGTTGGTTCACAAAAGAAACCGAACGTTAACCTATATGTCATCGTTGTCTTGAACAATTCATTTCCAACGGTATTGTATGTTGCATTGGCTTTTGTCTTCTGAGAATTATCTTTGATTGCCAAAGGCTCTAACCTCGGTATACACAATACATAAATGTTTCTTACTAATCTGTTTGATTTTCATTCCCAGAAAAGTAGGACGTAAAACTCCATTCATTTTATTTCATTTGATTTTCATTCCAGGTACAGTTAATATGTCTAGTGAGAAAATGCTAATTAGAACATTATTGGAAGAATATGCTGAAAGAGGGAAAATGGGTCGCCCTGTAGCTCAACAAGACGATACGTTAGTTGTTAGTTATGGTCTCAGTCTTATACAAATTTTAGATCTAGATGAGAAAAATCAAGTTTTATCAACCAATGTTTGGGCAACTTACGTAAGTGTAATTATATTGCAATACAGAATATCAGATACCAAATAGAGTAGGAAAATTGAATGCATCACAGAGCACATACTTAATCTAAACTGAAATCAGCATTGATTTTAAACAACAATAAGTTTGAAGTTAACCAAAATATTTGTGAAATGTATTCCATTGCGAAGACGTATGATAAAAATTTGGCGCCTTGTATATCTACAGTCGTAACCATTAAGTTTGGTAGGTTATTTTATTGCTTTCTTTTATTTTCAATTAAATTTTACAAATCTAAATATATAATCATAAATAAGACCGAATCATCTGTTATCATCGAAAGTCTATCTTTTTTAAAAGATAAAGTCTGGAATTATATGATCTATGTATTTTGTATAGAAAAGGCAGCAAGAAACCCACTCATTCACTTTACTGTAAAGAAAAATAACCGGGAATATGGCGATTTAAATATATTTGATTTATATATACGTGTATATGTATCGATAATTGTCTCAAACTTAGATAACAATCGAATTAAAATGCTAAAGATGTTGAACTGTGCATTTCCGTTGGGCGACACCACTTACTCTTGAAACCTGTATGCAACCTATCTAGATCTACATTTTAATCAGATTAGTTGCTAAGTTTCTAATCTTAATATCCTAGATGTTAAATTTTATCTGTTCAGAAATCACAGATTCCTTTAACTGAACAAAATCAAATCTACTGAAGCTTGTCTTAAAATTTTGTCCCAATCTCTTCAATTGATATTTTTATGACGTCTTAAGTTGCCTTTTCGGCAGAGTCAAGTATATTTACCAGTGTTATGAATCTGAAATGTTTCAAATCATCTCTTATAAATTAAGAAAAGTTTTGATTTGGGGATAATTTCGACCTAACGAAATGAACGACACAAACATTCCAAATATAGATTGAAATTGGCATATAAATGGATGTTATATAAAAAAATTTCGGAATAGACAAAAAAAGGTGTTAGAAAAAAATCATGTTCATAGACTCGAAGGGTACACACAGGATTTTAATGATTCTTTACTAAGTAATGATGATATTGTTTTATACGGATATAAATCTCAATATTCGGTTTACCACGGTATAGACCCTTATAACTAATGCGTCGGATTCACCTACCTCGAAATGAATTAAAATCGATATAAAAATCTGTGTCAGAGTGACATAGTCAAAAATTCAGAATAACCTCTGTTGTACGTCAGGTGGTAATGATTAGACAATGTTAAGAAATTGTTTGTGATGATTTCCTTATAATATGCCTATCGCGACAAAATGACATACTTACGAAAAAAAAAATCTTTGTGGTAGATTTCTTTATACTCATTCTAGCGTCAACTTCTTCGATTGGAAGCAATAAATATCTGGATTTTATAATGTCTTGTGAAAAATTACTTTCTCTGTAATCTGGATGTGAAGAAAATCTTTAAAAGAGAGCTATAAGAACGTCTGGTGACAATAAATTTTACCGTTACGCGTTCTACTCGTGAACTTATTGAAGAAACCATTAAATAAACCTTCAACTTGTTTTAAATTTAATAACATGGGCAGTAACTTGACAATGCGGATGCAAGGATACATATTAAAATTTCTTTGTGGTCTGGAAGGAAGTTGGTTTATGTCCCCAGCCTTAATCAGAGGCCATTGCTTACAAAATCATTATTTATATAAAAACATGAAAAGTGATGGAAGATATTTGAGTTACAGATATGATGGGCCTTCAGCGGTTTTTTTAAAAAGTCAATATTGAAGCCATTGGTATCGTGTCTGATATTAGCTTTGTCCAAAAACAAAATAAAAATCGACCGCCACGGACAAATTCCAAGGTCTATAACTCACACCTTAAGATAAAAATACATCTACCTGCTTTGAATAAAATAATAATGGTCTTTTATACCGACTTGCTTTGTACAAAACCTTAAGGTGGTGTTTTTCGGGTATAATTTGATTTCTATCAAAGAAATGTGTTACATCATTATACCAATTTTCAGCTGGGTCAAATAGCATGAGCAGGAAAAAAAACTTGCCTACAAATGTCATAGTACCGAGATGAAAATATTTAATGCCATGGTTAAAAAATGATTTTGATATTAAGGATGTATCCACACCAGGATTATAATGTTTAAAATGATTGTTATATTCTTCTGGATAATGACATATCATACCGCGATTAAAATGTTAATGGTTAACATAAATGAAATACAATTGAAATATTGATATTTGATAAATTGATATTTATAATGTTTAATGGTCGAGATAATTATTATTTTATCTTATTTATGATGAATACAACACAAATTCGAATAGAGGCTATGTTCAGGAAGATTAGATCATTGCATTTTCATCCATATTTTCCATTTCATATATTTCAAAGGTGAAAATTTGAAAATGTGAGATGCTAGATCTTAATGATTAAATTGTATATTAGATTAATCGTTGATGATAAATTGAAGATATTATTTCATGTTGTGCCAACTGCATTATTTTTCAGAGTACCATTAATTGAATTAATAGGTAACAAATTTATTAATAACGTTGATGGGACTGATAACATAATTAAGTTTATTTTGATTTTAGAATTGGAATGATATGTATCTGAAGTGGGAAGCTAGTAATTATAGTGGTATTCATACAATTCGTGTACCCACCAGTGATATTTGGATGCCAGATATTAAACTTTATAATTAGTAAGTATTCTAAGCACCATTTCCTTTGGTCGTGGTTTATAAAGGTCAAGTCATTTTAAAGATATCTTTGGGCACCAGAAATCAAGATGCATGTTTTAAAGGGATTCTGAGGAATAATTATGTAAGTATCCAATTGAAAAAAAAAACAGAAGGAACATGCTTTAAACAAGATTTTGAAGACTAAGTCTTGATATAATGCAAAAGATTTTTCATAGCGACAATAAGATTAGCAAAACTTGAGGCTTGCGCAAGAGATTTCCTCCCTGTAGTCTCGTTTTATGTCAGAATCGAACACTTTGTCGAAATGTGTCACAATACAATTTGGTATTCTCAGAAAAGAAGTCATTTTGAATGTCAGTTCATCTTGTTTAAGTCGGGAACTAATTTGATTTTGTCTAAAGGATAATCCTGTGACAATAGGTGAACATGACAAAAATCCGATTGGTCATACCGACTAGACAAGGCAATTTCAAATTACCAGTAAGCTAAGTTAGTATTATGTAAACTGGTCTATTTTATCATGATTGAAGAAAACATCCGTATCTCAAAGCCAATCAGTTTTTGTCTGACGAATATCTGAAGGAGGCTATCAAAGACTAAAAAAGATCAGAATTACTGTAAGTGTGGTTGATAGACCTAACTATGATTGCAGAACTGGATAATTTCTGTATTTCTGCCACTTGAATTTCTATTTTTTTTTCTTTCGTAACATCAGTTCTACCTTATCAAGTGTTATGAATTTTCCTGAAGTCAAACGAAATGTACATCTAACATAATATTTAAATTTAGATTCTCAATTATACTTCACTTCAACAGTAGGTATGTCAAATGTAAAATTTCATAAGAGTGAACAAAATAGAAATAGCCATGACTGTTTATGTGAAGTTTAAACCGTAATAGGAAAGAGACTACACTATGATATTTTGTACAGAAGTGAACTTAATTATATGTCGTTATGTCAACGTTTACGTTTTTAGACATTCTAAGTTTCTCCATCTGGTATATACCATGTTGCATATAAAAATACGGTGATACCAAATTCCGCTTGTTGACAATAAAACTTAATTTATGTTAATTTTAATTTAAGTTTATTTTCGGAATGTCAATTCTTGTTTTTTCGAAATTTACATAGGGCACACGACTTAGACTTCAAGGGTTGCAGCAACATTTCAGTTAATTCATTAATATAAATTGATTTTTGCAAACCGGAAGTGGTGCATTTCAAAATGTGCAAAAAGATTGGCCCTAGAGGTCGCATTTTTGGGATAGTATTCCTTCGCTTATTCAATTTTGGAATCTATATATAACATTTGACACAGTAGCATTTAAAAAAAATTGAATTCGCAAATTTTTACACTCTTCAGAACTCCGTTTTTGTTTTTAGTACGTTAGATCTGAAAAAATTCTCAATTCTGGTTGATCTTCTATTAAGATAGCCCAACAAAACTATCAACTTGTAGCCACAGTTGTGACGCCCGACCCCCCCCCCCCCCCCTCCACACCCACCCCCTTCCATAAAAGCCCCAAAAACAGTAAATAAAAAATTACTGTAATGCTTCGATTTTTATTAAGACATATCAACTGATTTTGGTGTCAAATTAAAGAACATAAACAAACATGACATTAGGAACCCATTTTTTGATTTTGCTATTTTGAAACTTCCGGTTGAATTATTTTCAAAGTTTTCTCTTGACCTTGACTTTTGATAACCTTTTTGTCAAAGGTCATTTACCTTGGCTATCAGTTAATACTTTGATATTTGACGTCTACTTCCGGTTGTATAACTGTCTAACAGTCAAATTCGCAAATTTCGACTTTTCTACCAAGTGACTCGGATTCTGAATGCGCTTTTCAATCTGTTTCTAACGATATATAAAAAAGTGTTTTTTTAATTTTTTAATTTTTTTCTGGAATTTGAGCGTTTTTCACAATATTTTTGCTTATTTGCATTGGTTGTATGTTTATCTTGTTATGTCATTTGGCTACTGAATCTTCAAATTTGGAAAATAACTGGACATTTTGAATATGATCTAAAATTTGAAAAAAAAAATTCAGGTGAGCGTAGCACGCGTGTTATAACTCATATGGAATACATTTGTTGAAACAGGACTTTGCACACAATTACCACATTGCTTTGGCCATGCAGTTTGTCTCAAAAAGCTCAGTTGTTTTAGCTTTATAGTTCGAAAAAAAGGAGTGGTTTTTAGAGTTTTAGTATTTTTGACCTTGACAGTTGAATTTGACCTTTGTAGGATCGAAGGTTATTGACCTTGGATATCTATTCATATCTTCATATTTGATGTCGACGTCTGCTTCCGTTTTTTTGGCCGTTTGCATTTTTAAAGTTTGATGACTTATATCTCGTGACTTTGACCTTTGTTGCCCTTCCCATTTAGAAGGTCAAAGGTCGTTTGGATTTATGTTGATACTGCCATTCACGGTGTCGGACGTCTACTTCCGGTTTCATAATCTTCCAAGGAAAAAAATTTGACTGCTCTAGCACGTGACCTTATAATTGGCCTAATTTTTTTAGATTCCTTTGCAAATTGCCACGTTAGCAAAGTCCCACTATGTGCCACATGTTATATAGTAATTTATATATAAATAATTCAGCAAAGTTTAACTTATAATTTATTCTTATTCTGTCATTTTTTATAGTAGCGTATCTAGCTTGATTTATAAACAAAAGTAGTATGATTTGATATACACTACTGTTTCTTAATCCATGTTCATATTTATTTTTTCAGTGCTGATACACGTTTAGAAGAAAAGAGAGATGCTCTGGCAGTATTATCAAGTGATGGTAGTGTTGTCTGGATACCACAAGCTGTCTTCAAAAGCTCTTGCTCTATAGACATTAGACATTTCCCATTTGATGTCCAAACATGTACCATGAAATTTGGCTCCTGGACATATGATGGTTCTAAATTAGATTTACAATTACTGTATAACGTCAGTGGCTTTGAGATGACAGATTACATGCCAAGTAATGAATGGGAGATTAAAGAGTCCAGTGCTATCAAAAATGTCAAATATTATCCATGTTGTCCTGAACCGTATGTCGATGTTACATTTACGTTAAAAATCAAACGTAAAGTTGCCTTTTATAGTTATATACTGATATTGCCTTGCCTCTTGTTATCATCTTTAACTCTTGTCCTCTTCTGGCTTCCACCGGAATCACCTGCCAAAATGCAGCTTGGTAAGTACAATAAGTTTCAAAGTAGATACCGAATATAACGGAATATTTGTTTCTATCAAAGACTTGTGTCTATTTATGAAATTATTTAATGACTATAACTTAAATATAATCACCAGACAGGCACCAGACTTTTATTAACCCATCAAAAGATAACCTTCCAATTTTCTTTTTTATTGTTCACAAAATATCTATAAATTCTTTATTTTAGGTATGAATATATTCGTAGCGTTTTTCGTCTTATTACTGCTTCTCGCCGAATCGACTCCACCAGCCGCCTCTTCTATACCCTTAATTGGTAAAAATTACCTTCATTTCTTCTATTCTTGTACAAACAACCATTATATTCTATTTATGTCAATTTCAACTGAGATTCTATAATATTTAGTTATAACGTTCTTTCTTTACTCATTCCTCGCTTTTATTAAATGTCAAAGATTTATAAAGTTCAAATTACTGCACATTACTATATTTATTGAAAGTTATGCGTGATTATTTTAGGTGCATATTACTGTTTGAACATGATACTGATCACGTTGTCTACCTTATTATCAGTGGTTGTTGTCAACCTTTATTTCCGTGGATATAGAACGAAAGTTCCGAAAGTTTTTAAAGTTGTAAGTACCAGTTCATTCGTTGTGAATCAAAATAAAATCACGTTCAATGAAATCTAGAGCTTAAGGATAATGAAAAGCACGGCTCTCGAGCTCGTATGATAACTGCGATCAGCATGTAATTGAACTGAAATATGTTATATACATTATTCTACATCTCTCATTCAAGAGACCAATCTAAATAGTATATAAATGCATATATGAATCTTGATACCGTATAAATTATCTCTCATAGATTTCATAAAATAGAACTTCACATAAGTATAGATACCATATTTTCCAAATTTTATAGACATTTTGGTCCATGCAAATTCTTACCAGGTGTTTGTTTTTTTTTTCTTGCAGGTTATGATTGAATTTTTCGCTCGAGTGTTTTGTATGAGAAAACATCTAGTAGAGGCACAACCTGGTGAATCTCCTCAAGCAACTCAAAATAGAGGGGTACCAGTAACGTATAATAACAAAGATAAAGGAAAGCACTCGGAATTTAAATATGATCGTGTTGGTGTGTATGAAATGCAAACAGAAGATTCGTGGCGTATGCTTTCCAACGGAACACCGTTATTGAATGACCCAGATAATCCTTTTGAACGCCATTACAATTCATTACCTAATGCTATTACTAACTTAGAAAAGGAGATCAAGGATATCAAACAATATTTAAAAGTGATTGTGGACAAAGCAGGCGAAAGGGAAGGGAAAGAGAAGGCTGCTAGAGAATGGAAAAATGTAGCCTTAGTCCTGGATCGACTCTTCTTTTTCTTATATTTAATTGCCATGTTTGCCTCGGCGTTCACGATATTTGAAACAACGCTAGTGCAAGAAAATTAATTTTTATGGAATGAAATAGTGGTAAGTGCATCCTGATGATGGTGTGAACTGATGATAAGTGTATTTTGATGACGGTTGTGATCAGTATGATAAAATGTCACATTTATTATACTAAATAGTGTATATACCTATATATTTATATAACTTTATATCTTAATATAACCAATAACAGTTCATAGCCTTCCTTTTAACAAGTGGTAACAAAATAATATTACAAACCCGCTAGGCAGAATGGGTGGTTATGAAATTGCATAATAATAAATTTATATCAACCGCATCTCTACACGAATCAATTCCGGTTCCAGTTCAAATCCGAAACGAAGAAAGAATTTACCAAGAAAGAATTTCGCTACAACGAATGGTTTTAGATCAAGAAAATGCTGTTAAGACGTATTAGTCTTTCCATAAAATCAAAAAGTAACCAATTCTGAAATATTTTTCTTCATTGCCGAGTGAATAACGGAAAATGAATAAGCTGCCACAGATCACAGCCAACATTTTTTCTGACATATGCTCAGATTGTTTGAACAAGATTCGTGTCTAGTATCTTGTAATATATTTCTTATAGAAGTGAACTTTCTATATAATTGTGTATTTGTATGTGTTTTATCTTAAATCATATTATATAAGACGACACAAGTCAGACACTAAACGTGTACAACTCATGAACAACCTTATATCATTATTATTCAATGTTTAGGTTGCATGTGTATATTTATTCTTAATAATTTATTCATTTTATTCAGGCTTCGGATTTAATACTTTAAAGCAATCCACCTTCACCAGTGTGGATTTCAAACTGACTGTTTTCATTGGTAACAAAACCACTATTCCTTTTTCCTACTATGATTTTCTTGTAACAACCGTCCACTTTCAACACCTATTATTTTGTTAATTTACATAGCATTCTTATCACGTAGCTCCCAGTGTATCTGAAATCCCTTTAGTTAAATCGCACGAGATGAGTGGGTATGAAGACGCACCTTGTCGTACAGAAAAGAAGACTCTAGTTCGTTGAAGAAACACCTCCGGACTGAGAAAGCACTGACTCATAACTATGATGGTGTGCCTTTTGTATATTGAAACTTGAATCGACATTTTGGTATGCTGAAAGTTTGCTGAACTAAAGAGACATCTCAGACTTCCTTAACCAATCATGTTGCTACATTACTATTTGACCCCTTTTATTCTCTAAATGTTGTTAGTTGTATAAAATAGAACAATAACTTTGATCCTTCTTCCATTAGAACGGACAGTAAGCTTAACACGCACAACGCCGAAGACCTTGTGTTCAGCAAATATTCATTGCTTTGCTTGCTATAGGTAAGGTTTACTTCAATGATTATTTTAGTTTTAGTACATCATAGCAGTTATTATAGTACACGTAAAGTTTCAGATTTTATTCACGTCTTGTACAAAATACGTTTAATAAATGATTTAATAAAAAATGTATTTTTCTATATTTTTGGGGAATTCGAGTATAAGAATAGCTACTGCGCTTATACAAGCCATAGTTTAAAATACTTGCTGTTCAATCAAAACTTCCGAAAAAGACGCTTTGCTTCTCTTCTTCAACCTTGTTTTAATGAGTCAAATGCCTTCAATGTTTATTCGTCAATATATGAATTAAAGAATATCAATGCATTTAATAACCAATAAAACTGCAATTTCAAATGCAATTGACATAGGGGGCTTATTTGATGCAATCATTGTCCTTGGTAAATATTTTGCACACACAAAAGAATTTTAAACATAAGGCAAAGATCATGTCAAATATTTCTACTATCAAAACAATTTAACTGTATTTACTTACAGTTGATAATTCACATCACATTAAATAACTAATTTCACTCTTAACAACATCCTTGCAAATCTTAATGAGAAATCTGTATAACTAATAATGGAATAAGAAATGACTAGAGTTGTTAATTATAGATTACTTGACGATAAAGCAAGATATGACAGAAATTACAATTTTCATTACCAACATTCACTTTAGTTCAGATAGGTGGCTATACTATTCTAATAGTAGTATAGCATACTATACATTCAATTGTATCAGAAAGATGTAAGTATAAGTGCTGTTTAGATCTAATGCTTTCTATTCTATATACCTGATACAAGTTTTCATTATGAAAAACCTACTCATTCATAGTACATCCTCATATGAATTATTCATATCGCCAAACTTTTATTCCGGTCCTTTTTTTAAAATCCACTATGCTGTCTTTCTTGAGAGTGGATAGGTCAAAATTTTTCTCGGAATGTCCATAGTAATTTGAGTAATGTCAGCTAGTTTGGTGATTTCTCCTTGATCAATATCTGGGTCTATATCACTCAAGTTTCATTACATGGTTAAATTTGTTTTAATACCATAATGGCGTACATGTGCAAAAATATCGCACACGGGGCGCATAATAATGTAGAATACAGGCACGGTCACAGTCGCACAGTTGCAAATATTTCAGATAAAATCGAGGATGCTTGAGCGTGCATGGTGGATGGCTGTGTCGATCAACGTCCTTCCAATTGATTTTAAATGGATCGATCGAACAGATTGTAAAATACAAGGCTTTGTATATTTTCTAGTGTTTGGTGCATGTCCAATTCGAACAACTAAACGCTTTTTCAACGACAGCCCTCTGCTTTACTGAGACTATATCAAGTGAATATTACAGTTCCTTGCGTCGTAGCTCGAGCAGGTTGTCATATAGTACTTTATGAATGAAATACTAGAATCTAGATTTCATCAGAGCTGAGATAAAATCACAGTATTTATTAACGACTGAGAACAAATTTCTTCTCGCGGTTAACATGGTAAATCATGAGAATTAGATCGAACCTAAAATGACTCGGATATTAGAGATGTACAGATAAGAATAGTAAGAACATTACAACGTGCTTAAATTGATCGACCTTTACCATGATGGTCATAAGGGAGTATAAAATTAACAATAGGCCAGTATAAATCTCCCCATGGTATGGTCCATACTTTTAACTAATTTATCACTCTGTCCACTAATAGCTTTCATAGACTTGATTATTTTCATTACAAATCATAAAGACATCCGACAATTTGTTCTGTTAATTCTTAGAAACACGCACTGTTCCTTACAAAATATTCACTTACAATAATACACAATTAGAACTGGGAGTCAATAAACATATCGTTTAACAGTATTGTATATAAGTTGCTAAGTTGCTTAAATAATTACGAAAATAAATTTACAGTATAAAATTCAACTTCAATGTCCAGTATGTTTAAGATTTGACGAAACACCCAATGAACCTATGCCTACTGGGTGAGTAGCCTAAGCCAATGCCATTATAGTTTCATCAGAATTGCAACGGCAATGTTCGCCTATACTCCATGATATTTCAATCTGGATAAGAACTCAGTGAACTTGGCGTGCAGCAAATTGAAACCACGATATTTTATATAGAGACATTTTTATTAAACAATAGTGATAATTGTAATATCATACCCTAATTAATATATAATTAGTTAATGAGTATACAGTATCTAATTACATTATTAATATTAATAATTAGTATTTTTTGTGGGCCGTCAATGTGTTAATATCGTTATTCACCTCACTATATTCTAATCCCAGATGGGTTTTTTGTACTTGATGGTTTTCTGCTATTGTTAATCTTATTCTCCCCTGTGGAACTGTCATCAGAATAATGGTTGTAATTCTATACGAACATTTTTTGCAATTACATTTTTACAGATAAAATGAATCTTTATATTTAATGTATTGAAAAAAAAGAACAACTAGATTCATCCTGTCATGACTGATGATATGCACTAAGAATGAATCGTCTCCGGAATCCCGCTTACAATGTCTAACAGTTCTTTTCGAATTGCCGAGGCGTCGAATTATTCTAATACAGATATTTGTATTATGATATTTTGTGATTTTAGTAAGACTTGTGATGTATTTAAATATGGTTTGTTTCATTACAGAACATCATAATCAATTTTCAAAATAATGAAAAATAACAAGTATTGACAAAAAAAAAACAAAACAACCCAGTCGATCGAGAACACATATTTCAATTTCTAAGTATTTGTTTCATCCTCGGCCTGTACATTTGGTAGAACCATGTCTTCCCTTCCTCGAAATAGGTGACACTAACTTGAGCATGACTTTATACACCTACCTCATATTGGTTGGTATGGTACTTTAGCTTGTCTTTATACTTACCTTATATTGGTTGGTATGGTACTTTAGCTTGACTTTATACACCTACCTTATATTGGTTGGTATGGTACTTTAGCTTGACTTTATACACCTACCTTATATTGGTTGGTATGGTACTCTAGCTTGTCTTTATACACCTACCTTATATTTCTTGGTATGGTACTCTAGCTTGGCTTTATACACCTACCTTATATTGGTTGGTATGGTACTCTAGCTTGTCTTTATACACCTACCTTATATTGGTTGGTATGGTACTCTAGATCGACTCTATACATCTACCTTATATTGGTTGGTATGGTACTCTAGCTTGACTTTATACACCTACCTTATATTCCTTTATACACCAACCTTATATTCCTTGGTATGGTACTCTAGCTTGACTTTATACACCTACCTTATATTTCTTGGTATGGTGGTCTAGCTTGGCTTTATACACCTACCTTATATTGGTAGGTATGGTACTCTAGCTTGGCTTTATACACCTACCTTATATTGGTTGGTATGGTACTCTAGCTTGACTTTATACACCTACCTTATATTGGTTGGTACGGTACTCTAGCTTGACTTTATTCACCTAACTTATATTGGTTGGTATGGTACTCTAGCTTGACTTTATACACCTACCTTATATTCCTTGGTATGACACTCTAGCTTGACTTTATACACCTACCGTATATTTCTTGGTATGGTACTCTAGCTTGGCTTTATACACCTACCTTATATTGGTAGGTATGGTACTCTAGCTTGACTTTATACACCTACCTTATATTGGTTGGTATGGTACTCTAGCTT